AGACGTGTCCGCTCCTCCTCTTTCGATTGGTGAAAACCGCAGGTAGCTAGCTATTGCGGTTGTCGAGTTATTGAGCTTACACTCACCCCTCTTTTATTCTGGCGCGGACATTAATGCTTGTACAGCCAATTATTCTGAGCCCATTGAAGTACTTGTTTCTACACAGTTAACAGTCTTAAGTCAAAAAACAATTTTGAACATATTTTTGATACGAATATCAAATTCTGATTCTAACTACCTTTGATTCTCTACAGCGACATTCAGACGTAAGAAAACTGAGCAAACACTTTGTGCCAAGGCTTTCGGGTCACATGTTAGTGAATAAAACTTCTGCACATATATAAAACCTATGAAAAAAATAGAGTTGACCTTCGAAATCTCTGCTTAAACTAAAAAGAAGCGTGTCACATACGGCCACCATGAGATGCAGTTCACACAAAAAAACTGTAAGTCTGTATTCTATATCGTTGTGAAAAACTCTATTTTGCATCATATTCCAAAATAAATTGTAGCACTGTTAGAGACGTTGTGAATTTCGTATCTCAGCAAGGAAGCCATACAATCTCAATCCCTTTTGAGATTTTTCTAGTCTCACTAAGAACTATATATGGGCGAAATATAACGTCAAAAGAGGAACTTTACCTGGAAGTATTCCCTACGTAATATCAATTCATCTCCTTTCTTCAAAGCAGAAAAAAAGGAATTACTTTGTTTTCTAATACATTCTTCGATAAGTTCGATCAGTTGAGAGCAATTGGGTCGTATATTGGGATCGTCTGCCCAACACTTCTTGATCACTATAGTAAAGTTTGATGGTGTAGTTTCTGGTATCTCTAACCGATCGCCACGACGTACGTAGTCAGAAACGACATCATTTTGGTAGCCATCATAAGGTATCTCATTTGCAGCTAGCTCCCAGTAAACTATTCCTAAACTGTAAACATCACTTTTATTGGTATATGTTTTTAGACGCAGTATTTCAGGAGCAGTCCATTTCAATGTACAAGCTAACGTATGAGCTACTTTAGTTTGCCGTGTAGTTTCATTTCGAGTTTGAGCTAAACCAAAATCACACACTTTCACAGTGTAACCTTCATGGGATCTCTCTAGCAAAAAATTTAACGATTTGATATCACGATGTAAGATAGGTGGCTGCAGTACATGCAGATAATTGATGCCTTTGGCTGTTTGCAAAGCGATGGATGATCTTTGAGACCAATCTAATGGTAGTTTATCTCGATGCAAAATCTTGTATAGCGAACCTAATGACATGTATTCCATTACCAGTGCATATTTTCCACGTTCTGTACATGCACCATAAAACGTGATAATGTGAGGATAATGAATACTATGCATTAACGAAAGTTCGTTGAAAAACTCTTTTTGAGCTTCTTTGTCCAATTGAGTAAGATGTAATCTTTTGACAGCAACTATGTTGTATCGACTTATCCACTCAGCTCGATAAACTGTTCCAAACGCTCCACAACCAATTTCTTCATCCAAATTTAGATCTTGGTCTGATATTTCTAATACGTCTTGCGACTGTTCTAAAACTTACAAAATATATACTAGAATCTGTCAATTTCAATAGGCGAGCTGATCTTAAATAAAAATGCTGTCGTCATTAGATAGTAGTATTTGAGAACGTAGTAGTTCCATCATGATTCACAATTTGAATAGTCTTGTTATAAGGAATCGTAGAAAATCTAAACTCTCCTTTGTAATTACTTTTTCAACTCTAGAAAAAAAGCTTTCTTGGCATTAGGTCATTCTATGAACAGTATGGACAACTCCGAGGGAATCGGCCAATTTAGTTTATCACCGGAGAATGCTTGATGTGCAGTCGAAAGTTTCACATACATTCATATTTATTGGATACTAATAAAGAAGTCCATTAATGGATATTAAGTTGATTACTCTGAATACTTCTCACAAGGAGAAATGACTTTAAGAGGAATCCCTTTTACCCTATACCTAAAGCAAAAACTTTTATGTTCTAAGTTTTTTCATCATTCATGCATCCATACAGGATTCACTGCTAAATGCTTAACGGAGAAGAATTTACAGTCACTTGTTCAATAAAACCCAAACTCTTTTTAGAGAGATGCTAGTATATCTCAGGAATAAAATGCAATTTGAATCATACTTGGAACTGGTGAGATTTAATGACTCAATCAGACTGATCGATTAGAATTCTCGACTTAACCGATGAAAACCTAATGCATTGAATATATCAATAGATCAAGCAGCCCTTTCGAAAAACGGACTATTACTTCAGTTCCATGAAGACATACCTACACTGTAAAACTCATATAAATCTTGTGAATGTGAGCGCGTGGTTTAGTAATACTTCAATATTTTCATAGTTGTATGGCGCTTGCATTCGACAAAATCCTGATAGCAGAGCTGATTCTTTCTAACATTTCGTAATGACATCATAAACTGGACATCAACACCTATTGGATTTTTATGAGATTCAGTTAGAAAAAGTTTAGAACAATGAGCTAAAATTTTTGACGTAGAAAATAATGAGTTTAAACCGAAATCAACTTTTAATATCTTGTTGGATTTTTTCAAGTATAGTTTTCTTCAGCATAATCTGCGGCTGTCAACTTACTATAAGAAAGTCTTAATTCAATATTTACAGCTGGGATTTCAACAACGACTGAAAATTTTTTAGTTGGAGACGGCTAGACTTTTAAATTTTGATCATTGAAAAAAATGAAAATTGTTGCAAACGAGCAAAATAAGCCGGCTTTAGTGACCAAAAAACTATCAATAAAAAAATGGTGAAAACCGGTCGGTCTTCAAAATTCAATCAGACCGTACTCTTAACCGGTCAATCTAGCCCCAAGTATGATCCAGTGATATACAAAATACTATGTTTCGCAGGGATTTGCGTTTTTCTTAAAATCAGCTTTTCGATGGAAAAAGAATCATCAGAGCTAAAACCAATAAAGGTGTCAACTCATTTGGAGCTTCAATCATCTGATACTATTGTTAGACACATTAGATTCCCGGCTATATATTCTAAACTGAACATCGTCACAATTCAATTAATGATAATGCAGAAACTCTGCCGTAGTCGCATCCGAATATCTGCTACAGCTGCTAAAATTTCCAGTTTTTATAAATGTGATGTAAAAATACGATATGGTTCGTTCAGAGAACTATTCACACAGATACTTATAGGGTTAGAGTATGCCAGTGAATTTCTATATATATAATTACATATATCCGACATATGAGCTCCAAAATGATGACACAGCTGGAGAGTTTCCCTCTTAATTAAGACGTAGTCATGTCAGACTATGAAAGTCGCGAGCATTATAAAGATTGAGACTAGGGAAGAATCCAAGTTCTCTATTTTTTTCGATGATGTTATTAATAACATTCGTCTTAGGTTATGTCGAGAAACAACTCAAATGCTAACAATATCTCATGTACTATTTTCTTAATGGTTAGAAACAAAGATATGCCAATCGCAAAATTCTTATGATACTCTTTTGACTCACTTAAACAAGAGCAGTAGAATTCACTATCATATTTACCTGGTTTATGCGGCCGCTTTGTTTGTTGACTATATAAATATATATCTCTCTTTAATAATGCAGCAGTCACAAATGGGATTTGTTTTGATTCTGATTCCTGTATTACTCCATTGGTAACATCACGTAATATCATTTGGATGTCTTCATTCGCAGTTTTAATGTTTTTTAAAAGATGCTTGGTGAATAAACCATTTCTTTCTCCTTTTCCTTCAATGGCTATAGTTCCAGGTGCACAAGCAAATGCAATCAATGAACCAGCCTTCTGCATGGCTTTGAGGCCTATTGATTTTGGTTCGCTTGCATCTGGATCACGTGCATTTACCTGAGGATTACGTAAGTGATACTTTCTACAACAATCCAATAAGAATATTGTTACGTATGGATTGCGATCACTTAAAGTGTCAAGAATATTTTGTGCATTGATCGCACTCTTGTTTAAAGCTGCACCATCCAAATTTGGTGTGTCTGTGAGTATCAAATAATTTTGATCCTAAAAGAATTACAAATAAAATACGCATAGAAAATTGGAATAATTTTTAATGATAAAACCTTAATACATACTTCCCATTGTACACCATGTCCAGCAAAATAAAATAGGACCATGTCGCCTGGTTCTATTGAGTTTTCGAAATCAATTAGAACGTGTTGCATCTCAGCACGTTTTAGATGTAGTTTCTTTGTAACAATAAAATCAATACTCTCCAGTATAGATGACATATCATTCGCATCATTTTCTGGATTTTGTAATTCCTCACAATGTTCATATTTACCAATACCAATTACAAGGGCCAGCTTACGGCCTGATTCGTTTTTAGTCGCCATTAATGGAAAACAAGTTCAATCTGAAAGAAAGGCATCTTTTATCATAGTATACATCAAAAAAAACGAAATCAAACACGGACAGAACAACATATATTTCCATCGGTTCTTCCAGCAAGCGTTGTATGGATCACAAGATGGTTTTTTGTGTCAGTCATGATTGATGGTGCGATGAGTTTTAACAGTAAGGCAATTTATCTAGGTACTCTATCAAGTGTTTCAACCTAAAACTCGTCAAATACAAATAGCTTACTACATTTCAACTTCTAGTATAATAAAGAACTAAAAGAGGGCTTTTGCTTCGATATTTGTGATTTCTATAAATATCAGCAAAGAGTAATAGAAGTATAGTATCAAGAGGTCACGAAATTGGTCTGAAGATTTCATCATTGGAACATTTTCGGAAAGATAATAAAAATACTCGGTCTTCTGGCTATCAAGTGGTATAGAATGCTGCTTAGAGGCAGTTTCATTAATCTGACATTGTGACTACAACTAATACTAACTGTAGCTTAAGCGAATTGATCAGTATGTCTCAGAGTTCTTTTCTTCTGTGAAACACGATCTGAAAGGAGTGTTAAAGTACATAGGGTAGAAATTGTGGACTCACTCCCCATGTCCCGCTCACAGACCGTTATAGAGAATCTCTGAACCCATCACAGACCGTGATAGATAACTTCAGAGACCATGACATACCATGGCGGAGAATTACAGAGACTATCACAGACCGTGACAGAGAACGACAGAGACCATCACTGATCGTGACAGAGAACTACAGAGACCATCCCAGACCGTGACAGAGAACCTCTAGACGCATCACAGACTGTGACGGAGAAAGTGTAGTTTTGAAGCATCAAATAAACGATAAGCTACAAATATATCGTGAAGAAATGGAAGAAAAGAATACCAATTTAATTAGTAACAATAGGTGCATCGTGTTTCATATTTTTAATCCCGCAAGGAACTGCGCTAAAAGCTTTACTTTAATCGTTTGAGCTGTCCATACGTACGAACGAACAATATATTAGTCTCAATAGATGGTAGATGTTAAATTGTAGTTGGCACAGTTCTTGGGTATGTGGTACGAAGCACACAAGCGTTAATGCTATTTGGCAAGTCATTACCGACTAATAACGATAAAATCTGAACACAGTACTTGCGGGTCTCTACTGAGCAGCGCGACGGCTTAGCTATTTTACAAAGACTTTTTTGCAGTTCGAACCGTTACAAATGGTAAAGAAGATGATACAGAATTATTCAACAAGTTTTAGCTTCCGATGGTGGCTGCAGGGTAACACAGTCATTGCTAGACCATACGAAGAAGCAACGTAGTTTATCGGAATTCTAGGATCTGTAATTCGATCAATATATAGTTCTTGTCCAAATAAGCTTTTTTCAGGTTCATCATATCATAGGATAAAAGAAACTTGCGTTTGCTTCAAACTCCCATTGTCTTCCTATGAAGGCACGGTGAAACTCTGACGGGTCAAAGAACCAAGGAGTTGATTAGCTATTCACTTACGATCACAGTGTAGTTAGGTCTAGGGGAAAAAGTGGGTGTGGGTATGTTTTCTTCTCACACCCACACCCACACCCTCGTTTGCGTAGTGCTTAGCGGTCTAAGGCTTGTCGCCTACAGTTTTCGAAGTTTTTATTTTGTCTAATGGCTTTTCTTCTCACTCTCACGAATCAGTACTTTAACAAAACTTTTCCCTATTGGTCTGTTGAATCCCTTTGCAAAATAAAGATTCTTACGAGTCTTATCTCGCGTACATTTGAGCGTGTACGACAGATCTTCGTTCCTTCCTTCGCCTGATGAATTGTAGGACATAGTGAACTTCTTTCATTTCTGTCATAGATTTCTTGGAGGCTTCAAGGCTTTTAATCCTCACTTGCATTCATCAACAGGCCAAACCGTTTCACATTGACCTGGACATTCTTTTTATTGATCAAACCTCATATGTTCTAATTACGACGTATTCGCATGTGCCGAAAAACTCTAATTATCTTTTTAATACATTCATGTGAATCTTGGTATTTCCACCTTTATTTTAAGCGTTATTTTGTGACAGGAGTCTTTTCTGCTGACGCTGAGGCAATGATCGTATAGCCTTCAGCTTTGTTTCTGACAGTGACACATTAATTTCGGACCCATTTCTTTTTGCTCCCAAACTGGTACCATGATATGTTGCCTGAGGGTGTTTTGCAAACTTGTGCAAATGGTTTTATAATCTAGGGTGTGGGTGTGGATGTGAGTGTGAGTGTGGGTGTGAGTGAGTGTGGAGGTATTGTGGATGTGGGTGCCGGTGAGCGTGAATAATATTCTAATTCACACCCCGATCTAACTCTTACCCCTACCCCTACCCACACCCCATAACCCCACACCAAACACTCGCAACCGCATCCACCCATACCAACACCCTCTTTTGTTTTTGAGTGTTTTCTTGTTCATCTGGATTATAAACCTCGATTATCTAAAGTGCCAAATGCATTTTGTGATTACACTAGGAGCACAAATATCAATTTATTTTACACATCTATTTCATCTTGAATACGATCCCGTTATCTTTCTCGTTACATGACGATGATTCCAAAACTTCAAAGACTAATTCACAATATTATAAGATGGATTTCAAATTTAGAGAAGATCTATGACACTAATGAGCCTTAAATTAAAACGGTACAATCTGCTGTTAGCCAACTCATATCTCAGCTTAGTTCATGATCGACAACACTATAAGAACAAATCCGCTTCTTAACACATTCAGGCCGATATGAGCCACCAGTGGCCCACGGCATATTTTATAAGAAAAATAACAAAAAACAGTTTCTTTTTCTTTTTTATCCTATGTAGTGGATGCCATATGTATCCTCATCCACTCCGTCGTGTAGTTGTCCAATTTGCAAGAAAAACTATGGTACAAACAACATGACGATTCTGCAGTTTCGTGAAAGTTTTGCAGGATCTTTGCTTCTCGGTGCACCATTCAAGAAGCTGAAACCTGGTTCGAGGCAACAATCAGCAAGTCATTTGAAGCGCAAACTCGCTGATCACAAGCTCTAGGAAAGAGAAGAATCTGCTCGCGATGTACGAAGACATTGTACTGGCTTTTATGAGAAAATTAGGCAACAACAATCAAGAGAAGCAAGCGCAACAGCAATGAAGAGAGTAAAGACTTTCTGTTCTAATTGTGATAAATATATTTTTCTTGATTGTTTCAATGAGAAGCATCATTCACTGTAATAAAGGATTCGAATACTGAACAAGACGGAGTGAATGAGGGAATATATGACATCCACTGCATAGGAAACAAGAAGAAAAAGAAACTGTTTTTTGTTATTCTTCTTATAAAATATGCCGTGAGCCATCGATGGCTCACATCGCCGTGACTATGTTAAGAAGCTTATGCCAATTTGAAAATTCTTTCGAAAGTGCTCTTTTCCTTTCTTAAGACTCATGAACTGTTAAATTTTCGGAAATACTTATGATGACATCGTAAGTGTTTCTAAACACTCTTAAGCTAGTGTCGAAAGTTTTGATTTAGAATTCCCAATAATGCCTGAAGCTATTTATTCGATTGCAAAAGAGTCTCAGTGCAAATCTCAACTTTTCGAGCTTGTTCAATCTTTAGAAGGTGTAGTCATTTATCTGAATCGTGTATGCATTCTTTTACAGCCGTTGCAGGTTTTCGAAGTTCTTAAAGTATTGAATCTCAAAATAGTATCAATTTCAAATTTGGGATGCGACAAATATTAAAAGTTTCAATTCTTCAAAATTTTACCTAACTTTATAAACGTCGACAGGTTTATGAATTCATAGATTTACAAACAAAGTCGATTGATTTCTTGAACATTAATCAAATTGATAACGACTAAAAATCCAAAAATAAGAGTTTTACTTCACACATTAATGAAATGGATGCGGGTGTGGATGGATTCCGATATGGGCTTGCGAATGCGGCTTGTTTTTTTTTCGGGTATACTCTTACCGTTACCCAAAGGTTT